GCCAACAAGCAAGGAATGTCAGTCAGTGTTAGGAGAGGTGGAGAGAGACATAAGGGCTGCCAAGGAGCGAAGCCACCATTGATAATTGGGCATGTTTTTAAACTCCAAACGTGCTTATTTAGATTTGTAAAAGATCAATGAGCGATTATAGCCTAAGACTTGCTTCATGGTTTTGTATACTTAATGTTTCATCATTTCAAAATCAGGTCTAGTAATGCATGTCCTTAATGCCAGCATTCTGAAGGCAGAGGCAGGAGGTTCAGAAGTACGAGGTTATTCTTACCCACTAGCAAGTTGTAGGCCAGCGAGGGCTAGGTGAAACACTGTCATTACTCCCACTTGGTACCTGCTTTCCTAAACAGAGAAGAATGCCTTAAAACACAGGCCCTGTGGTTTTAATCTTTTTAATCCCTACACTTTGCAAAGTAAGTACTCCATAACTGTCAGCTGTGTCTTCGATCCTATCTGCATGATGATAAATGAGCCTGCTAGTCTTCCAAGCCTACAAGCATGTAGATGTCTCACGGCACACTGTATATTTGCCTTCATGTGCTCATGAAATTATGAAACTTACTCTTTCCCTACTTTTCTAGATTGTAAGGATTCCCAGGTTAGTAAAATTATCTTCTCTCTTTCAAAGTCGGCATAGCTTTACGCAGCTTTCATTTTCATAGTCCATTACATATAATTATTTAATGTGTGGTACTTAAATCCCTTCTAGAGTTGACAATATATAGCAAACATGCACATGAAAGTGATCTATAAGAGACATTTACGTGGTTATTTTATTTGAATATTGTGCAAATAAAAAGATAAGGAAATTAGACATTTAATTGCCATACAAATTAATAGGATGCCATTATTGGTCTCTTTTTTATCTTGGAGCAAAATCATTATACAGCAATCATCACTAGAGGTGATAGTCAAATGGGGGCTTTATATAAGTGCCACAACTGAGTAATCTGGATAATAAAACAGAAAATCCAATACTGCTCTTAGGCTTAACTACCCAACATATAGCAGGAAGCAATAGTCTTCATCTCATTGTTTTTCACAATTAATCTTGGCCATGACAGACAGTGTTATTTGCCAGCCTGAAGCTTCAAATTTGATTTTTAAAATTTCAGCACTAATACTGAAATCACAAGGCAATAAAAACTGTCTTTTTATTCTGAATATTTCATCCACAATTTACATTGTATTCTGCAACTGATTAATGTCATATCGCCTGCAAGGGCTTTTCAGATTGATGAGGGCAGAAAAAGGTGTATGTGTTGTGGGAGGGAGAAAAGGGGAACAACACACAAATGAGATCTAGAAAAGCACACGATAGCTGTGCAAACGGCCCATCCATCATCTCCACGTTTTGATTCAGAAACAGAATGGAAGGTGCTGTTTCCACACCACTCACCCTGCACACACACAAAGGTTTGCTCCATTGAGAACACAACTGAAGCTGATTGATTAGCTGCTAGAGAAAAATCGATACAAATATCCTAGAAAACACCAGCCTGTGAATTCATTTTGGCTCCAACAAAGTCCTGGTCACTGCTTGACATGTTCTTCTAGATATCTAAAAATGCAGCTACACAGACCCCAGCAATCTCAGCCCAAGGACCACAGTTAATCCCTATGATTTCATTAAAGGAGAAAAAAATCCTGACTCAGCAGAGAGAAGGAGACAGGGAAGACGATTTCCCAACATACAAATGTAGATATGCCTCTGAACTGAAAAACACTTAGAAAGTAGAAAGTCAATGGAAAATGCCCAGAGGACTAAAGTGAGATAAAAACATGGAAAGCAGCTAAGAAACCAACTAAATATGTACATGTTTCATGCATAAGAGAAATTAAGGTTTTAATCCTGACTTCAATGCTGCCCATTCAGAAGTTCACAAGCACACTTTTGGAAGGCGAATGGAGGGGCAGCAGATTCAACACTTCAGGAAGCCATTTTATTCCTAATGATTTCCTGACTGGTTTACGTCCTCTTCTGAGTGCTGCTTTCCTTTCATTCGGCCTTTAGTTTGCACATTCACTATACAGACAGAAGACTTTTTTTTTTAAATAAACAAAACATTTCAAGAATATGCTACTAAAGAAGAAATTACATAGTTATTGTATGTTCTATTACCTGACAGAAACCTGGCTTCTAATCCTAGTCTATCCAAGTTTAATTTTTAAAAAATAATTTATATTATTGGCACACAGAAGCTAATAAACAAAATAATAAAAGGAAAGAAAGAAAATGCCACCAAAACAGGGGGTAGTGGCACATAAAATCTAGCATTCTGAAGGAAGAAGCAAGAAGACTGTTCAGGTTTGAGGCCGCCCTGGTTCACACAGCAAGTGCAATGTCCCAAACAGGAAGATCTTACCTTAAAAAAACAGAAAAGGAAACGGGAGCCTTGGGAAGGGAGGAGGGGAGTATTTTAAGGAAAGAAATTTACCTGTACTAATAAAGTAATTGACTAGTAGCATACTTACACTCCATCTTTAAGTAACTCTTCACAGACAGAGCCGTGTTTCTTACTCATAATGAGGCCAGCCTTCTAAATTATGGTTTTGGATCAAAGATACATGAATTATTAAAGAATAAAGAAAAATTAAAAATAAGAAAATGCAACATTTCTTCTATTATGTTACCTATAAAATTATCTTTTGTGATTTGATAATGCAAACTTTAAAACTCATTAAGACCCTTAAAGTTTCAAGGTCCTTTGTAGAAACAACGATAATGCTACACATTCAAGGTGTCTATAGTGTGAGCTTACAAAATGGTATTTCCTATCATCAGAAATGAAAAGTGACTGTCAGATTATATAGCTCATCTATAGAGAATTTTCTCATAAACCGTATTTTAAAGCAAAATAAGCCCTGTGATGGGATCCCAGTCATCTATGTCTGTTACAGAGGCTACACTGCTCTATGCAAATGAGGTCTTCCATCCTTGATTCATTTACAATTCCTTCACCATAGGAAACATTATCTACTTCTTTCCCCTTCACTCAGTCACTATCATACAGACACTATCTAGAATTCCTACAACAGATAATGCTAAATTAGCAGTAAGGACTAACTACATCGTGGAGAGGCCAGACAGCCAGTTGAAGTCACCTGGCAGTGAGCAACAGAGCAGTGTTCCAAACCCACACTGTCTACAGCAACCCTCCTGCACACATCGGTCTCCTAGCAAGGACCTCAGTGCTTCAGCAACAAAGCCACATGCCAATCAAATGAGCCTGCAGCAGTCCGAGAACCAGGGTCTCAGTACCAACTCTAAGACACAGATAACAAGAAGACAAGTTTCAAGCTTACAATGCCAACACTCAGTTCAAATGAAAATAACACACAAATCACTAATGACAATAATGTTATGATCTTCTGGAACTTTCTACATAAGCAGTCACTAAGTGTTGCTGGCCTGTGATAAGCCCGAGTCAGTCATCATCATTAGCCTAACACTGAACAGCTGACACTACCAACTAACCCCAGAAGAAACTGCATGCTGCTTAGAAGAGAAATAAGACTGCTGAGGTGAGAACACTTACAAAAGTTCCCTAACCAATTCATAAAATCCATATTCTCTTTCTCTTCAGTCCTGAATGAGACATGAGTTGGTCCATACAAAGTCATGATACAAGCCCATCAAAACTATGGCTCAATTATGAAGTAATAAAGAAAATTCTTCACTTCTAAAATAGCTACCTTATATCTTTATAGTTTTCAATTTTTCAAGTGAAATGAGATAGGTTTTTTAAGTCTATGCGATTTCATAATCTTGAAAAATATGCTCCCTATACTTGTAGAGGTTGACACATAATTCAGTTATACTTATTATCTCCATTATCAGACAGATACATGGGAAAATGAGGCCCAGTCAAAAGGGCCAACCAACATAACCAGGTGCATAGAGTAGGTTTCTATCTAAACTGCTGCCTCTTCTGAAAAAGGCTTTCAGGAATCATACTGGAAAAAAAAGACAATCTCTCAAAGTTTCCCAGAAGACATAAAACCTAACCATAAAAACAGAGTGTTACCAAGAGCCAACAAGAACATCAGTGCCTGCTGAGTGTGAACATGGCAAAGGAATAAGTTAAAAAGAAATGGTTTTTTAAAGTGGTCATATGTCAATAAATGACATAAAATAAATATCATTTTTTCTCTATATTTTTATTACATGAAACATTCCAAATACATATTGATAAAAGCTTTAGATAGATCAAATAAAGGAATGTGTTTGGAATACAAACATTGTGACATTTAGAGTTTAAGTCCTGAATGCAGTTTTCCAAGTTACTTGCTAAGAGGAAAAGTACATTGCTAGTAACTATTAACCCACAAGAAGAGGAGACAATAGGTGATCCACATGTTGGGTGTAAAAACATACCACTGTTATATACACAGATTATAACAAAGACAAAAGAGGAAGTTCATGGCTTAAGCAGTTATTTGTCAAAACAACCATGACTCCTGTTAAAGATAAGCTGTGCTGTTTGCTGAGGGCAGGAGCCAGTGATTCAGGCAGCAGTAAGCAGCCCGGGCAGAACGTTCCTCTCAGGACCCCACCAGAACCTTCCTCAGCCGCAGCTCTACACTCTGCATAAATCCCAAGTCATTCTCACCTGTGGGCACTTATGGTGGATATTCTCTCTCTCTCTCTCTCTCTCTCTCTCCTTCCCTTCCTTCCTTTCTTTCATTCATTCTTTCCTTGTTTCACTCATTCACCCTGTTCTCCTTTTCCATGATACCTAGACCTGTTGTTTACTTGAGTAGTTAGATGGAAAAATGGTACAAGAAACACAGCTTGAGCATTTAAATCAGATAATATGCTCTGGTAGCTGAGCAGACAGACAGACAGACAGACAGACAGACACAGACACAGACACACACACATCAGGCAGCTAAAGCAACTGAACATTTAATGGGAAGTATTACTTAGGAGATGAATATGACTTATTAAGAAGACGGACTTCATACATAATTCTAGAAACTCTCACCTTGAAAGGACTGCTTGGCTCTCTCCACCAGTTCATCAATGGGATAGCTGGCCAGGTTTCCTCTGGCGTGTTTAGTTTTGCAGTAGGTACAAGCATTAAGACACCTGTTTAAACAGGAACAATAAATAAGGCTCAAAAACTTAAAGACATACATAAACTGGTAGGCAGAAAAAACAGTGCAGTGACATTTTAGTAACATTTGCTTAATTTATATGAGATAAAAAATAATTATCTAAATGATTCATATTTACCTTCCATGAAGAACAGAGTTGGTAATCCTTGACTTTTAACTATGAGAGAATGATCATAGAAAGCCACAGATTATCCTAAAACACATAACTCTACAAAGAGCAAAGTTTGTAAGTACTTTATGATTAAACACATACATGTTTTCAGGACCCAAGTTTATAAACCCCATGATTAATCAAATGAAATTCAAAACATCAGTTTTTAAAAAAAATTCATAAACCACCAAAAATTTCTTTGGCTATCAAATAATTAGAAAAATTTTAGTACTGCTTATATGTGGCTTTTTATTAGGAATATTGAAGCATATACATTGAATCTTTAGATAAGGATTTAAAAATAAATGAATAGGCAACAGCAGTCTCACAAAGCTAGAAACTGTTAGAAAATTTCAGACTAATTTTTTATTCCATAAGGGAACTGTTAAGATGTGCCTGTGACTTCCATGAGCCAGAGAAACAGACAAGATGGCAAGGCACGCTGTGAGGGATGTAAAAACTGACTCAGGTCCCAGTAGGCTTCACCCATGGTTCAAAGTTACTTTTTCCAAATTAGAATATTGATTCCTTTAGTTGAAAAGTAAATTTACATCAATGTATTACAAACTAAAAGAAACAGTTTTTAATATACAAAAAGATGAAGTGTAAAAACACTGGAGGAAACAGAAGTTGTCTATCCTCTGTATGTTCAGTATCCACTGTAAGGAACAAGGCCCTCAAAAGACCACTGTCACACAAAGGCTTTAAATTTTCACAATGTAAAAGCAGAATTTGACAAATGAACCTTAACATCATGACTTTATTGGTATATAACTGTGAGATATACATGAATTACTGGCCTTAGTAGTCAAATCAACAATGTCTAATGTCTTATAGGTTTGCATATAACTCCAGGGAACAGTAACAAATACATTTTGAAAAAGCATTTTACCATTTAGCTCAGATTGATCATTAACTGGCAACACTGTCCTTCCAAGTAATTTCTATTTAACTGAAAACACTGAGGACCCTTCTGTGTGATGCTTTCTGTGCTGCCCACAGATGATATAACCCTTCAGTTTCCTTCTCACTAAGGAAAACACTTGTTAAGTTTGGTTACAGGCTCTCCTTTGGTCTCATTTGTATGGTGATGACGGGGAGGGCAGCAGAGTATATTAACAACAATGCCCACTAGATTTCAACTGTATGGGTCTTCCCTTTGAACAAGCCCCTAGAATAAATGTGAATCAAGCATCCTCGGGGTTGATTGCTAGAGCCTGTGTTTAGCAGATGTGAGGCTATGGTTTGATTTCCAGCATTTCCAGTATGATAAGTAAGAAACATAAAAATAAAACAAACACCCAAAACAATAGGAATCATTCTAGCTGTGTACAAATGAAGACAGAGGTGCTCGTCCCACAAGGGCTAAGGTAAAGCAGCATACATTTGACAGCGCTTATTCTCCTACATAAGGCCATTTGTTTATACTCTATCCATCTCTCCCTCAGTCTGAGAGCATGGAGCAGGCTTCCTGTCCGCACTGGCCTCTGCCTGTGTCTGCATGTCCGCTGTCAGTCAGATGTTCTGTGTCTCATCTTCTTGCTGTGTCACTTCATAATGACTTGTTCTGTTTCAAATTCTGGAACTCAATTCCCAGTACTGTGCTGGGTACACTGGGAGGTCAATGTGCTCTCTGACTCTTCCTCAAGTGTTCTCATGGACCTGGGATTCCCCTCCAACTGGCATTCACTGATGTCAGCATTGTTCTAGGCAAGCTGCCATGCCACGCTTTAATGCTACTTCAGGTATCCTGTTTTCGTCTTTGTCCCATGCCAATGAAAGGCAATGACAAGTCCAGGGACAATCTTGAGAGAAGCCACTAACACTTCTGACTAGAGTTGCTTCTTAAACGACACCACACCAAAAGAAAGGGTGAGGAAAGAAAAAGGACAGAAGGAAAGTGGAAAAAGTAATCTAAATAAAACACAAGAGGTCTAATAAAACTAAAGTGTGTAGAAAAGCTTTTTACAGTGGGCAAATTTTATATAGTAGTCATTTGGTGTTTGTACACTGTCATGTGACAAGTATGTCCAACTCTGTGGAGCATGTGCACTGTATGTCCAACTCTGTGGAGCACATGTATTCAGGACAGCTTAGTTTAAAAGCAGGTGTAGAAACCAAGCAACAGTTCCGAACTGTCTTATTCAATAACAGAAGTGCAGCCACTCCATGAAAAACTGCTTGTGAAAATGTACTAAAAAGGTAAAATGAGTGATATTCGAAAACATTCCTAATAAAAAGCCAGGAAATATAAATACTACATTAGGAATTCAAAATATTCTTCACTCAACCGCTCTTCCACACATTGTTGATGAGATATTTTGAATTCTAAATTTCCATTGAATAAGATAGACTCATTTTTATCTGTCAAAAATAAAACCCTGCTATTGTTACAAACCTTAAACTCAACAATTCTAAAGTGCACCTTTCTGTATCTAAAGTGCATACTTCTGTAAACATGTCACAACAGGACTAACTCAAGCAGTAAGTCTTATGTCTAGCTACTAAATAGGAGGGGTCTGCTATAACACAGAGGAAAATCACAGTGCCAAAGCACTAAAGAATGAGCTTTTTGATGTTTCAAAACAATATTTTTTGCAGTCACCAGGAACTGTGTTGACCAACCATTTCAACATTCTAAAATAAGGGAATTCATAATAGACACTTTCAATTGTCCATAAGCAATTAAGTAACTGTCCAAGAGTAAGACTGAGCCAGTTTCTTGAACAGTCAGAAAACAAAAGATCTTTGAAGGCTTACCACTGAATGCCAAAGCCAAACTGAGGTGGCCACTGAACTGCAAGGATGCAGGAAACCCTCCACCTACCCAGGGTGTGGTGACAGAAGAGAATGCTCAACACACCTACCTATCTTGTGAGCTGGCCATTGGCCAAGAAACACTAACCAGCTCATGAGCAAGGACAGATTAGGCTGAACTCAGGAGTGCGGCCTAAAGTCTGTGAGAGCACATTCATGGCAGCACATTTAAACTACACAGGGCAAACAAATGAAATAACAAGGTGGTTCAAAAATCATGAGTTCCAAAAGACTGGAAAAGGAGAATATACTGATGCAATAGCTGACCACACGAAGCAAATAAAAACAAACTCCCTTAGCATAGTGTTTTCAAAAACCTTAGATACTGTAAATTTGTGAATAATTTAAAAACCATAGTTCCACTCTAAAACATAACTCATATTATCTGTTTTTAGTGGAGAGGGGCGGTGAGAAGCATCATGTGACTGAGGCTCCTGTTTCTCCGTGATTCTTGGTTGACAATACATTCGAATATGCAAACCCACCCGAGAATAAAGCATTAACACTGAAGTATAAATTACTGAAACAGTGTAGTGCAGTCCCTTCATACACTTTAATCCTTACTTTCTTTAGATTCAGTTGCTGTAAGTATAAAAATAATTAGAAGCTTCAGGCGTGTCAAAATACTAAGCTCTTAGAGCTAAGTCTTGGAAAAGCTACACTGTGGCCTGCCCATGTTCTTCTATACCAAGATATCAGCACGCAAAGGAAAAATGAAAATCCAAGAAACAACTTCCACAGGATACAGCTGAGGCAGGCCTGGCTGTTAAATAGCACCTACTGTGCCTCAGCAGCAGCATCTTAAAGGACTTCTCCAAAAACTGGACCAAGTGTTAGAACTACTAAACAAACACAGGAGATGCCATCAGCAGACCGATGAACTCTTCATGTAATAAAGAGATGTCGGTGGCCGAGGGTGAAACTCTAAGCAAAGGAAAACAGAGCACCAGAAAGACAGCAGAAGTGGGGCTCCAGAATGAGGAAGAGAAGCAGGATTTTCCCTGCTCCCTCATCACTGACCACCAATTCCCTCCAAACACCAGAGTTTCCCTGATAGCTCAGTATTGTCTTCCACTCTGCCCTCTTGGACTTTTGTCTCCTGTGCGTTAAAAATGACGTGATACAGACTGCACCTCTACCCCTTACTCCATGCCTATGAGCTTCACTCTGTATTTCAAAGGCTGCATTAACGGGTTTTCACTCCCATGGATCTCACCCCCATTCCCTTTACCTGAAAGGATTGCTCTTACGGCCAGCACCCATCGATTCCCGTAAAACTCAAGACCTTTAAAATCATTTGGTAGGAATGGCAGCTAATAATAACAAAAGAAGATGGCTGCATGCTTGCTTGATACAGTTAGGCATCTTACATAATAAAGACGCAAGCAGCATTACCTGGATCTTTCATAAAGGAAACTGAAGCTCAAAAGGATTATAAAATCTGCCCAAAGGTACACAGAGCCAAGTCAGACTCAATTTCTTCCTTCTTCTTTTCTTTATGTGATACTGGAGACCACACCCAGGAGCTTAAGCATGTTAACCTTGTGCTATTATAACCTCAGCCCTAGACTCAATCCATCTTATCTGAAATTCCCACAGCACAAATTGAATTCTGCATTGCTCTAATAATACAAAAACTAACTTTCTGTGAGAATACAGACTGATTGCCTGAGCCTTTGAAAGCTTTACAGCTGTGCCTGGTGAGGCACCTTGCTGAGTAAGAGCCCGTGCTGTACAAGAGTGGGGATTTAAAAGTTCAAATCTGCAACACTCCTGCAAAAAGCTAGCTACAGCCACCCATGCAACTATAAACTACACAGTGTGGCTGAATGGAGACAGGAAGACTGCTGAAGTGTTTGGACTACCAGCCTAGCTCCAGGTTCAATGAGGAACACTAACTCAAAGGAATAAGAAAGAGACAAATTAAGGCACAATGCTCTGGCCTTTCCATATGCTCTAGTGTCTATATACACTACTTTCATATATCTACAAAACTGCCTTCA